TTGCCCCCACCCCACCCACCTTGGGATTGGGGACCCCTCGGAGACCCCCACACCCCCGGAGCCCGCCACCCGCCTCCCCCCACACCCATCTCCAGCCCCACTGGTGCTCACACGGCTGCTGGAGCTGGAGTCGGCCATGGTGGGGGGGGGGGGACACCACCCGCCTGCCTGTGCTGCCTCCACTGCCTTTACTTTCGGTTTCTTCTGCTCTACAAATAACTCCTCCTTCGAGCCAGCTCCCAGCCCCGGTGACCTCCCCGGAAAGAGCTTTTCAGCCAGCTCAGCCCTTCCCAGACGACCAGGAGGGAAGAAACCCACAGGGAACCCCAAGACCTCCCTCCAGAAAGGTGTTCCTCCAAGGAGCAGCTTCCCCCCAGAATGCATTGCAGGTTCCCACTCTGGGGGTGCAGTGCCACAGGGGTCTCAGGTTCTGCAGCCAGCCTGTCCCTCTGCACCCCACAGCTCTGAAGGGGTTCAGGGACTGGTTGCCCCCTTAGAGAGGGTTTCCATATTGATCTTTGTCCTGGAGGCTGGCTGGGATCCTTTGCCCTTCCAGCAGGGCATCAGCACCCCCCAGCCATCTGCACTATGGGGACCACCACCAATGAGGGACCACCAACGGGGGAATACCACCAATGGGAGATCACCATCAACAAGGGACCACCACCAACAGGAGATCACTATCAACGGGGGATCACCACAGAAGTGGGACCACTAGGAACACTTGGGGTTCACTCAGCCCCAAAAGGAGAGGGCATGGTGGGGTACTATTGTAACCTCCCCTCAGGGCTTTTGATACCTGTAGGATCTCCAAAGCTTGGCCCAGGCTGGTGCCACCCATCCCCAGGCCTTGAAGAAGAAATTTAGCAGGTGATTTGGCTTGATTGCACCCATGAAACATATAAATTTTTGAAAAATGTCAATTTTGGAAACATTTCCATTGGCAAGCAGCCCCTCGCATGGACAGGACAGGTCAGCAAGACCAATCAGGCTTGTCCCACTGGTCCAGCAGCCTGGGGGCTGGTAAAGCCACCTGGACCTCCAAGATATTTTAACCGTTGGGGTGTTGGGTGCTGCTGGGGAGCTGAGCATCCCTGGAGAGGCCACGTTGCATCCTGACAACTCTTCCTTGCCGTGGAGGGAATTCAGGTGTCCCTCATGAACATATGGTGAGACAGAGTCACACCATGCAGCCTCCTTGACTGGCAGCAGCTCCCACAACCTGGCCAGCACATGACCTCCTTACACAGCACCCTGGGCTCCCTTGGGGAAACTGAGGCACCAAGGGTTGAAGCTCCATCTGCCTGCAGAGTTCATCAGCCCATCGCTGCCCAAGGCTGCAGACCAGGTTTATTGTCCACGGAGAGTTGATAGAAAGGAAGCTTACAAAATAAATAGATATTTATATATGCCTATATACAGTCCACACACCCCCCACGGACAGACCTCACAGTGCACATGCAAAAGCACTTTGAAGAATAAACTAACACAATGACTTATTACACACTGCTGTGTCGAGAAGGCTCAGATACCTCCAGGCAGGTTGTTCCCCAAACAGCCACCTCTGCTTCTTCCCCATAAATGCCAAGATCCCATTAGCAGGGCCACATTGGACCCCAGCTCCAGCCTGCTGGTGGCATTCCAGCCTGCTGTTGGCATCCCAGCCTGGTCCAGCCAGTCTTCGTGCTCTGCTTCAGCTGCCCACCCCAGCCCATCCCCAGGGCCTTCTCCATTCAATCTGCTCAGGTCATGCCCCTTCCAGTCTGAGACACCTGGCTATACAGCACATTGCAGGGGCAGCAGGACATTGGTCTGCACCCTGGTGGCACAAGGGACCTGGAAGCAGACTGGGCTTCCCAGGCATGGGCTGGGGTGCCAATTGGTTCCTATCTAGTAACGTTGTAGGCAAAGGATGGGCAGGGGAGGTAAAGCCAAGGATAAGGACAGACGATGGAGCTCAGCCTCAGTTTCCCTGCCCAGGTCTTCATCTAACTCCTGCAGCCTCCATGAGGGCAGCAGGAGCTCCAGCAGGCCAGAGACCCCACCACGCAGGACCCCTATATGCTCCCCCTGCTTTTACACACCTACAAAGACACATACACACAGACACGCACCCACACGCATGCTTTATCTATGTTGTTTCATCGCCTTGATGAGCTCCTCCAGCTTCAGGGCAAGGTGCAGGTCACCTTTCACCTGCAGCTTCCCACTCATGTAGGCACTCAAAGGGCGCAGGTCACCCAAAAATAGGTCCTGCAGGTCTTTCTCTGCCACCTCCAGAATGACGTCAGGACTGCCCTTGGGCACGCCGCAGCCAGCTCGCCCGCTGCCTGTAGGACACAATGGGTGAGAGAGGGAGAAACAGTAGGCTTCAGGATCCAGCCTTGCCTGTTGACATTTCCCCAAACCATTTCATAAGGATTGAGTTGGGCCAGATGACAGACAGGGGCCTGGCAGGGATATTTTGGAGGCAGGAGTCCTTTCTCCTTATGAAGATAAATTTCTCTTGTGTTGCTCCACTAATTTCCTGTTACAGTGGTCCACCTCCGAGCCCTGTCCTACTTTTGCAATGATGTACTGGTTTTGGCTGGGATAGAGTTAATTTTCTTCAGAGTAGCTAGTATGGGGCCATCACTCTGAACATCTCCCCTTTCCTCCTTCTTCCCCCAGCTTTTAATTGATGAGCATGACGTCATATGGTGTGGTATATCCCTTTGGTCAGTTGGGGTCAGCTGTCCTGGCTGTGTCCCCTCACAACTTCTTGTGCACCCCCAAGCCTGCTCTCTGGTGGGGTGGGGTGAGAAGCAGAGGAGGCCTTGACTCTGTGTAAGCACTGCTCAGGAATAATGACAACATCCCTGTGTTATCAACAGGATTTCCAGCACAAATCCATAACACAGCCCCATACCAGCTACTGTAAAGAAAATTAACTCCATCCCAGCCAAAACCAGCACACACGGCCACCAGGAAAACCATCAGCATCCACAGGGGAATGGATTAGGGTGCTGGGAGGGCATCTTCCAGCGTGAGGGTGGCCCAAGATACTGCCCATGCATGTCCCTCCATCACTACCCCTTTGGGCTCATGTTGTACAAGAGCCAACAAACCTTGAGGTCTCTGAGCCATCCCACTTGGCCAGCCATGAGGAGACCCAGCTGCTAATGTTCTACCTTTCCTTCTCTTTCTGAAGGAAAATTCATGGGTTTAACCTAAAACAAATTATACTTTGGACTTTCAGGGAGCGTGAACTCAAGGCCATGGTCGCCAAACTGCAGTGCTCAGCTGATGAACCCTGGAGTACTTTTCATGGAGCTACCAAATGAGCTTGGTTTGGGACCCCCCCAACACCACCACGCTCAGAGGGGTTCACGGCATGCAAAGGAAGCAGGGGCACGAAACACCCTCCCACCTCTAACACAACAACCCCAAAAAATGGTGACCTGAGGAGAGGTCTATGAAGTAGGTGCTCCGGGTGCCGCTGGGCAGGGCAATGTTGACCTGGTAGGATGCTCCCACCTGGCTGACCAGGGCCTCGGACAGGACAGGCTCCACCACTGAGAGCAGCTCATCTGCGCTGGGCTTTCTCCGGGTGCTCTCGGCAGTGGCAGTAGGCTCCACCTCATTCACCGTCTCCATGCTGTCTGCTGGGGACAATGGGACAGAAGTGGGTTGAGTGGACAGCTTTGGGTGGTGAGCTTTGCTAGTCTGCATGAATCTACCAGAAAAGGTCTCCAGAGCCAAGAAACCCACTTATCTAGCAAGTTTCCAGTTAAGCAAGAAGAGGACAAGATGGTTTTGCCAGTTCCTACTGCCTGCTCCTCTGTCTGCTATGGGTTACTCTTCCCCTGCTACCAGGGGGTGGAAAATCAGCCCTGAAGGAACCAGCAAAGCACAAATTGGTGCAGGGTTTCTGGAAAAAAAAATCTCTATTTCCCTTGGATGTGGCTCTCTCAGCAAGCTCAGGCTTGAGTTTGCCTGCTGGAAATGCTGAGGTCTGAGTTGGTCTCAAGCCCAGGCTCTCACAGATCTGCTCCTGCCCTCCCCAGGCCCATCTCCAATGTCTTGTTAGAAAGGTTCTGTTGTGCCACGTGCCGTATGGAGCTGTGCCCGGAGCAGTCCTCCCTGCTCCTCCCTACTAGCTTATTTGTGCTGTGTTGGTAGGAGCGTGATATCTCTCAGACTTTGACTCCTCTGTCAAACAGCTAACAGACACAAAGGTCATCGGGCAGAAGGGACATCCCCCAGCAGAGAAGCAGTGACCTTGGTTTGGTTACCTGCCTCTGGAGCACTGGTCCCGCTGCCTGCCAGAGCCAGGGTGTTGCTGAAGAAATGGGCAGCCAGTTGCTGAATGGTGCTATCCAGCCCCTCCAACCCAGGCACGGGTGGCATGGTGGCCAGAGGGCCCACCAGGTTCTCCCGAGGTGGCTGCAGCACAGCCTCCATGCTCAGCTCCACCCGGTCCACCTCCAGGCCCCAGGACTTGGTCATGTCGTTAATCTCCAGCTGCAGAGCCAGGAAGAAAGGGAGAGTTGTTGGCAACCCATGCAGAGGTGGCTATGGCCATGGAGACCACCCACCTCAGCACCCCCAACCACGGGTATTCCCACAGCTTATATTTCTGCTATCCACCAGCTTTAAATATAGGGTGTTGAACCAGGCCAAAGCCCTTTGAGATAAGCCACAGGGCTCCAGAGACCCACAGGCTGAAGGTATCTGCTCCCCACTAATGGCTACATCTTCCCAGCTCTCCTTCTTGGCCAGGTCCATGTCCAGGTGGACTTTCAGCAGCTACAGCTCTCCCTTACTGCTACTTCTACACCAAGAGCCCAAGGGTTTGGGGGTCTGGGGCGCTCTGCACAAGGCTGAGGCAGTCCTTACCAGCAGCTGCTCCCCGATCTTCAGCTTCTCCACCTGGATCTCACGGAGGCTCTTCTTCACCAAGGTCTTGGTCATAGCATTCTGTGCCGTCATCCGGGTGGCTGAGATGAGGTCCTTCACCATCATGACAGACAACACAGGGTCCCACACCCGGAATTGGATGTCTGCACCCATGGAGATGATCGCCCCGTCACTGGAAGTCAGCTGGGGCAGAGGGGAGTCAGGATCTCTCCATGTCTCTGCCCCATGGCCCAACCCTTGTGCATAGAGCCTGGGAGGCTCTCTGACTTCTTTCCCAGCTAGCAACCATCTCTAGATCTCTTAATAAAGAGGGTTATTAGAAACAAAACCAACCCAAATGATGAAGTTTGGGCTAGTCTGAATGGTGAGGCCAATTTCCAGCATGAGGCTGTTATTGAAAGACATCTGGGAAGGATAGGGATTGATGTTTTTAAGATGCCTCCAGCCAGAAACATGCATTGAACAACATGTGCAAAATCAAAAGGAGCTTTTCAACCGCAGGCAGGTGAGGATGCTGGGTTCACAGCACCACCTACAACCCCCCTCACCTCACCATGAGGATGGAGGAACTGAAAGTTGGGTCCATGCATAGCACCAAGGCTCAGACCATTCCAAAATCCACCTGCTCTGGGTATTTGAGAGGTGTCTCTCCATCCTGCCCTGAGGCCCAGGGCAGCTCACCTTGCAGAGGGGCACGTTGAAGGCCCTTGTCCTCAGATCCACTCGCTGCCAGTGATCAATGAAGGGCAGCAGCAGGACCACGCCTGGTCCCTGCGGCGCCCGGATACGGCCCAGGCGGAAGATGATCATTCTCTCGTAGGCAGGCACGATCTGGAATGGGAAAGTTTAGACCAGGTCTTGCAGTGCCAGGATCGATGGTCCCCACCATGGAGGATGGGTTTTCATCCTATCCCTTGCCTACTTTCCTCCCTTACCTTGAAAGCAAACCATCCTGAGATGGGGAAGGTGACAACCATCAGCAAGAAGACCAAGGAGGTGATAATCCCATGGCAGATCCAGGACAGCCAACCCTGGGAGGAATCTGCAGGGAGATGAAAGGGGGGTGTACCTGCTCCAAAACTCCTTTCTCTGCCCATGAACCCCCACTCAAGTCTCTGCCCCCAAGGACCCAGGGCAGCTGGCAGTGTGGGAGGCACCCGGCCAGTGTGACACCCTACAGCAAAAGTGGGACTAGGGAGGAAGGCAGCAACTCTCCTCTGAGGTCAGGGCTCACCTGCAGTACTCCCAGCTGGCCCCAGAGGCTCTTGCTTGGATCCAAAGGAGAATAAGCCCTTCTGGGCACCGTAGAGCCCGATGCTGGATTGCTGGAAGCGGTCAAAATCTCCCAAGGGAAGAGCCTGGTATCCTGACCGGCTGAACATGGTGCTGGTGCCTTGCACAGGACCCTACTCCTGGTGCTTGGAGCCCTCTAAGCCCAGCTCCTCGCTGTCATCACAGCTTCTGCCAGCCCTTGACTCAATCCAACATCCCTGCCTGGCTGCCTGCAAACCTCCCTGCTCCGATGTGCCACCAGAGAGATGCTGGAGAAGAGCTGACAAACCCTACTGTTAGCACAGAAGAAATCAAATCCTTCAGGGGTTTCCTTGCTGAGGTCTCACCCGGGCTGGGAGCTTCACATCCTCTCATGTCCCTCTGAGCAGAAGCCAACCTGAGGGATAAAAGCCATGGTTCCACAGCCACCCTCCACTTTGCACCCCCTTGAAGCTGGGAGATAATCCTGGGGTGTCCTTGACCACCAGCCCCGTGGCTGTGAGGATCGGAGGCTGCGGTGAGGATGCTGCAGCAAGGAAGGAGGGAGCTGCTCGCGCTTCCTGGTCCACCCGTCATGTGGCTGTGACGGCACAGCGACGAAACGGCTCGTGGCTTACGGCTCGGTGAGTTTTTCCGGAGAGGCCTTGTCCAGGAATTGCTCCGCTGGCCACGGGGAGGACAAGGTCCTCCATGGCGCACACACCTTGGGGGGGCTTCAGAGGGTACCCCAGCCCCACAGGGAACCGGGAGAGGTATTTTTCCCAGTGAGTCCTGCTCCAGCATGGCCTTCTCACCATGCCAAAGCTCCCCAACCCCATCTCACCACCTTGCAAAGGGTAGTGGAGACCAAAGAGCAGTGCTGCTGAGGATGGGGGGTGGCAGTAGG